GCGCGAACCACCAGATAGGAAAATTATGCTTCGATCTGGCCCAGGGTCCAAGTTTTGCGAATATCTCAGCATTGTTGTGATTGTTTAGATATACTATCAAATTTCGGAAAACCATGATTCTAAAGACACTTGAATTTAAGCCAACACTGCACAAAAATTATGTACCCGATCAATACCTTCGAGCAAAAAGTCTCCTATTACCATTTATGATTTAAGCTGTTGAAATACTCTATTGATGCAGAAATGATTACTCGCCATCGATAACGTCATTATTCCAAATCGTTCTCAGAACAGCAGCATAAGAAGAGTCGATTCGGTGTTAACAGGGGATAAATTGGTTGCTAACACTTTTGAAAGCAAATAGATTTCAATGATGCTGAGAGATTTGTAAAATTCCGGACCGCAGGTGTCTGCGGGTGGAGAACGAACGGGGTATTTCAGGGGAGTAACGCATTCACCACCGCACTATGTGGTTCCTTCATGTCGCCTGTCTCACAGCTGGTTGTATCAATCAGTGCCATCAGCAATCATCTGTCGCCAGGATTTAACTGGGAGCCCAAATGGGCAATGAACCCAGTTAAGCAGAGAAGCAATTAGATTTAGTGACGTTGAGAGGTATTTTTCGGTGACTAAATTTCTTGATCACTTGGATATCTGATAAACGCTTGGAAGAGACTCCATCCGCTTGCTGCTTACGTAATTTTTTTACAGCATTATATTTTGTTTTCAACTTTCAATTAGGAATTTCATTCAGCGATTATCCAATGTTTTGATTCAATCACAAGCTTACACGACGTTGCTAGAAATCTTTATTATGGCTAACGTTTTGAGAGCGCCGCCTTCTTAAGAGCCACGACGATTTGATCCAGCGTTCATGGAGGTTGTTGATTCTAGCGATCTCAGTGTTCCTGATCGCTCCATTGAGTTAAATTCGAGTTGAGTCGGATCATTTTCGACCACGCAATCAATGCATTTCTTTTCCAAGTTTATTAATAATTGAACTAATCGAACCAGCGAAAATATGGATATTTTCAGCACAATGGACTTCTTTAGGACATCGAATACAGCACCTCTTTATTGTGAACACTTTATTTAAAAAAAGAGTGTTCACAAAAAAATCGAGCAGTAACAGGGTCTACTACGATAGTTCATCCAGACAGTCAGACGATTGCTTTCATTTCGCCGCTTGCAATGCCACAAGACTCGCTGTAATTATTGTATTCAGACGAATAAGTGTAGACGAAGACTGTTTGATAGAACATTTTGTAGAATAATCTTGTCAAAAATGTAAATACTTTAGAAACAAACTTCTCTTTAAAGCTTGAAGGAATATACTTCAATGCGAGTAGTGAACAAGCGGCTAGCAAAGCCATCACGACATAGACGGTCAGGAGAACGGTGCTGACCATCGGAAATTATGCAAGACATACAACTTCTAATTCAATACGTACAAGCTTTTATGCTACTTGAGAAGGTTGGCCTATTTGTCAACAGTTAAGACTACCTAAAAGAGTATGTTGCACTTCTAGCAGATGGTAAACCCACCTTTCTGAATTAGAGTAGGTCGACAGATATTCCGAAGAAAGTGGAACAATGACACAAAATCGAACTTGCACCTCTTTGAATACCCAAGGTTTAATAAGCGTTGTTTTCGTCCACATTTCTCGATGCCATCATTTGCTTATCATCACTTATCATCCGTAAGCTGCGTTGTTCAACGAGTAAAGCTGGAGTGTGATTTGAGTGCTCTTTTGGGCCAGACAAGTCCCAGTGAAAAACCAAATGGAAAGTTTGTCTCGATACATGATTTGAATGCCGGCTAATATTAATCGGAGAATCAAGGTGGCACAAATCACGTATGCATTTGCCCTCAAGCTTACATAGCGTACGGATGATAAGTGCTGATGAGCAAATGATGACGTGCAGGAATGCGGATGAAAACAACTGTTATTAAACCTTGGGTATTTAAGGAGGCGTAGGTTCGATTTTGTATCATTGTTCCGCTTTCTTCGGAATAACTGTCACCCACCTGCAGTTTAAAACGGTGGGTTTTCCATTTCCTAAAAGCGCAGCATAACACTAGCTCTCTCTCTACTATTGCAAACTGTTATCAAACGGTGGCGGAGTGTTCCAGTAGTATAAAAGCCTAGCCAAATTGGATTTGGAGTTATATGTCTTGCAAATTTTCAAAACATTGGCTTACCGATAAGATCAGAACAACTGATACGGAGAACGTACTAGAAAGAAAACCGGATTGAAAATCCAAGCTGTTCAATGATGAATGCTCAATTTTTGAGCAGATATTGAAAGGTATAGTAAATTATGCAAACTTTTTAATATTTATATACTAAGTGGTGAGGTCTTGGCTATCTCCAGATTCCATGACTGCTTTTGCATCAGCTAAATCGAAAGCGCTCACTAAATCGATAAAGTTGAGACAGTGCGGCAGGTAACGTGTGAACAGCCGATCCGGTGTATAGATGAGGAAGGTTTTGCAAGTGTTCAAGTGTTATCTTGTCCCTGACCTGGCGTTCTTCGATTCTTCATCGAGGAAATAGTATCTCGGATTTCGGAAAGGAGAGCCGATGGTACAACGTATCCATCCTTCTTTATTTCATATGAGGCAGGAAGACTTGGTTGTTGAAGAGTTCAGAGTCGTAATCGTGAATGATATTCTCCATTATCTTTCGGGAAGCTACAACTGGCACCTATCTCGTAAAATATCTGCACTTACGGTCCTCGGCTTTGAATATCGCCCTATCAGATCGCAAGGCTTGAGAAATGTTTCCAGCACCCATCTTTCTGCCTACTGTAGCCCGACTCCGCCTACTGTAATCTGACTCCGCTCAGCGCAAAGGTATATAAACGGCTCCACGGTTAGCTAGCTCATGTCACAGCAATCCTGCCCAAGTCACCACATTCGTACCCCACCTCCATCTCATATAGTAAAAGACATATGCCAATCTCTTCACTCATAAGCAGCCTGAACACCAGTGATCAGGCTGGGTCTATTCATTACTCGTATCATCGTTGCATTAATTGTAGAGTTTTATTATTATGATTGTTGTATAATTATGATAAACGGTTTAATTACCCAAGTTTGAGGTGTTTGGCATTGTGACTGCTAATCACGAGATGTCCCGAGTGGCGCGCACAAAGGCGAGCAGCTAATTCCGACCGAATTGTCTTAACTACTTGGTATTCCTATATCAACGAGCCGTCCCAACACGATGATACCAAGCTAACAAGATTCCTGAATGGTCCAATACTTTGTAAACGCCATTAAAGTCGAAAAGTTTAACGAATACAGACACTTGGTAGTGAGATGAAAGATGTGAATTATAGCGTCAAGTTGAGAGTGTTGTCTAAGGTTCACTGGCAATCGCAGCATTCCCACTCAGTAGGTGGTAGTAAGACCGTGGCAATGGTTTGTTCTTGCGTGTCGTACTGCAGTTGGCTTTCTCACCCAACAGGCTGCCGAAACCATATTCGTTCCGTTTTGCTACCCGGAGAACAAGTTAGGAACAAACCTGCGATAGGGATAGACGTGGACGTCGTCGTTGGAGAAACACACTCGCAACGCTGCACTTTGTCACCACAACACGGCTTAATAGGAGGGATAAATAGACCCGCTTAACTACTAAAATTTCATTCAAATGAACATTCTCTGTACTGAAACCTACACCGTTCTTGAAAACGAGTTGTCCATTCATTTGAGTGTTAAAGCAATTTCTCAAGAATACATCCATGGTCCTCCAAGGGCGTTTCATTGCTTTCATCCGCCATTTCTATAGGAATTACTATCTGGCGACTGCACAGTGTACCTGGCGGCAAATGTGAAAATGCCATTTGAAAAGTAGTCTTCAGAGAATAACCAGAAAAATTTGCTTGGTTACAGTGCAAAAAAAATAACATGATCTACCTTTCTTACAGGTCTTAAGAAATAGCCGAAGGCCGAATTTCAAAAATTCAAAAGCGCCACTGAGGTATGCATACGGTTCAAAAGCCGCTAAGTGGTATTCTTAGTACATTACCGTTTGGTTGCTGTTGAAGCAACAGAGCCAGAGAATTTTGTCATTCGGATGACAAAGAAATGACACGAGAGTTCCAGAACCTTTTTATATGCCTGGACCTGTATTTAACAGCGCTTAATATCAGTTCAAATACATTAACTCTGTATTCTCTTGTATGCTATCGAGTGGCTCGAGAAACCACTTTACTTGCTTTGATTGGCGGCTGCAATATCTGAAAAGAACTCCATCGAATTTATCCTTAGTATTTTTCATGCTGCTAGTTTTATCAGCTCATGTTGAGGTAATTAAATTTAATATAAAGTGCAGCTCAATGACATGATGAAGCAGGTAGGCAGTGCTGAGTTTCACACAGATGATGTTGCTCGACATGTTGAGTTCCTACGGGTACGGTCTGTCACTTGTGTTCTATGGTATACAACAAATCGATATTCCAATGAAAGAGCTATCGCGTAGTGATTAGAGGTTTGATGTTATGCGAACATGCTGCTTGGTTCAATACCGCGGTGTTCCAGCAAACCCCCAACTCTCTGCCACCGGTAAACTAGTGCCCAAATTGAAAGCTATCTCCGATGCGGAAGGACAGCGACTGCCTGTGATGAAAATTTAGGAACGGTTTAGTACGGCTTCTCTGAGATTTAAGGAAGAAACGAGCTCGACTTTCATTCGAAGCATTTATGGAAAATGCGAAGTCCTTATGCTGCAGTCAAACCCAAAGAGAAATTCTCTATGGATAATGGACAATGAATGTGTGACAATGCACTGAACCTAGAACCCACATAGTACTCGAAGACCAGTGATCTTCGAAGTAAGGAATAGTTTTTCCTTCAATTCTAGTTATCTCACCTGTTATGTCGTTACTAGTTGTGACAGAGTGTTTAATTAATCTTTTGAGAAACAGTTGCAGGATCTCTGCTCTCTTTTGCCTTTATGTACGTTTACGTCCATGTGAATGGTCTATCACAGGGCTTACGCTACCTGAGATAAGCACACTAGTCCCTCATCGAAATTCATCATGGCTGCAGCGTTATCGAATTGCCCACAATAGTGCGGTGCTGAGAAGATGAAGAAGAGAAGAGTTACCAGACGCTTATTCGCAAAAAATTCATAGCCAACCTGTACGACCTGAAACAGTCGCAGAACATGCTGTGATGTCTGAAAAGTTTTGTTACCGATAGAATGACCTGATGTGCTCTGGCGACTAGATTGATGCCTAGAATGGAAATCATTTCGTGCACGATGTCTTGCCCAAATACGTACGAAAGTCCTCGAGTGTTCGCTTGCCAACCCTAGATTGAATTTTTACCTCAAAAAAAGACATTCGAGAGTATTTAAATCTGCTCGAAATTCTTGATTATTGATTATTGATTATATGCACGTTTGAGCTGAAAGAAACAGGAAGCGTCTTTACAATGAAGTTGGAGTCTCTTTATACAACTCCTTCGCAGTATTCTTCAGCACAAGGTCTTCCTCGCTATTGCAGCAGGTTGTACGGATCCTCTAACGGATGGTATTCGGAAAGTTATTTTCGAGACAAATTTATGAGTCTAAGAGACGGACTGGTTGTTAAACGTAAATAGAAATTGGTAGTAAGACGAAGATAGATTTAGAGATGGGCTCCCTGTCTGTTGCATCCGATTGATATATGAGTTCAACAGCTAGGAAACATGTACTCATAGATGCGTGCATAGATGCGCTTGCATGTATGGAATTGTGTCCTGGACTCTGACGTTTCGGCTGTTTATCGCCCCACATGCATAAGTCACCCATGTAAGATTCTGTGCAGCAGGCTTCCAACAATAACTGGAAGACTTATTAAGAATAAGGTAGCCGTGAAGTAGCAAAATTGTGGAAAAATCAGGTTGTATTGAATAAATCTGCTATTAACAACTTGTTTACTCAATAGGAAGACATTAGTTTTTCAATCACTGGCGTGGTTAATAGAAATTCGGTCCATGGAATTGCTAAGTGGTGTATCCTGAACGCTAATTATGCCGAAGGTTATACGATGAAAGAAGACCTTGTGTTTCTCTTCTGCTCATGCATACCACGCGTTTTTCTGCTCTTAGGAAAGCTATGATCTAAATCTCGCAGAATTTTGTCAGTTAAGAACTTTTTTAAGGAAAAAGTCTTAGTGTTAAACAGGATCCAGTATGGATGATAACCAGTCACGCGTATTTGAGATACTATGCAATGCAAAACTTGCGTATTGATTAGCCAGCCTGAGATCTCCACATGCGGTTGCAGTTTATAAAGATTGTATTTCTTACCTTAACGCAGTGATCAGGGTCACTCCATAAGAGATCGATGTGCAGCGATGCGTTTGAGGGATCAATGGGGCGAGTGATTTGTCGCAATTGATCCAGATATTTTAACTGTAAAAATGTGTTTTTTTTTCATACAATACAGTATTTAAATACCTTTTAGTACGTGGACATTCTAATAACCTTGGGAGACAAGCCACCATGCATGCAAAGAATTTTGCCAGCCACTAGTCCGGTGAATGGCATCGTTGCGAACGATTCCTGAAAAGAGGCTTCTGTTCCTACTTAATACTGCAGACCAAGTGAAGTAGGTGGCATTCCGAAAGGAAAAAGAGAATTGAGAAACCTGAAAACCGAGCCATAATCGAGTACTATTGCAGCGCCTGTTGCATTCTTCAAAGAAGTCGTAAACTCGATTAATCGGAGCGCACTCATGGTTTCCTCGCAAAATGAAGAAGCTATTCGGATACTTGACCTAATCGAAAGCAGTTAAATAGATGGATGAACCATGAAATTTGTTCCAAAGAACTTCATTTGACCTTGTAGCTGAAGAACAGCGCAATGCATTCAAGATTTAGATGGCCGCGGTCAACGTAGTCACCAAGGAAGAAGTAATTAACCATCGGCGGAAAACCACCTCGATCAAACAATCGAAGAACATCTAGAATCAAAGTGGAAATTTTTCAGGAAGGAACAAAATAAGTTGGCAGTAGCTAATAATCATCTTGGTGTTGCAGTGACCGAAGCCTCTTTACAAACCTGCAAATTGACCATGAATATCTCCACATATTATTGTAGGAGACTGGACCTCAACCAGCGATGCTTTGCTAAGAAATACTTGTCTGGAAAAGAAATATGGATATAGACAATAGAAAAAAAATTTCTGCGATATCGATATCCACCGTTTAACGTCGGTATAAGTAGCCAATTTTTCTTCCATTTCGGAAGATATTCATTTCAATGACCAGTTCGTGTTAACCGGTTGTTACAACCGGAGATAACACTTGCACTACCTGGAAGTCATCTGTGCCGCTATCGAATTCAAAATGAAAGACTGTCTTCTTGGTTTATGGTGGCATGCGGCCGCAGAAGATTGATGCTATCTACTATGTTTCGTACTGATTGGCATAGGTATAAGGAGATGTAAGCTTTCTTGGAACGGAGGCTGTTGCTGTTTGGTGAGACGGATGACGGAAGGTAACAGTAATGTTTTCATATTACGTAGTATTCATAAGCCAACATGAGATTGTTGGAAAAAGCTGCTTCTTGGGGTTGCTAATGCCTTACGGAATCCGTGTTTTCTCCTGAGCCACAACAAATATTTTTGGGTGTCTAAAGCAGATGCTTCTTACGGCATGGATTTTCGCAGTAGCATCGAGTCGAATCCATTGGAGTGGAAGTACGAGTGGTGAACGGAAGTACTGCTTTGCTGGACGACTCCGTTGGTTTTAAAGGTGGCTGGTGCCCACACATTCACCGGAATTTGAGACAACGATCGTTTCAAGCAGCGCTCGCCGACAAGCGTCCGTTTTTGTAAAAATGGAGATCGTCGCTCAACTTTCATTACTAACAAGAAAATCAACGCCTCTAAGCGATTTTGATAATTCTCCACTGAACATGTCCATGCGTTTTGCTTTTAAAGACCACTGTAAGCTTGGTATAGGCTTATTCCCGGCTTTATTTCGTGGTTAGACGACATGCGTTATTCACCTTGATACACATTATGCACATACCTCGCCGTTTGGCAGAGCAGCAACAGTTCTGATTCCTTCACATTGTTAACCAATGCACAACTTCGTACACCAACGTTTAATAATCGGACGATCATATCGTCTATATCCATACGAACAGCCATCGTTTGCTGAAAATACAGTGTTCCTTGAAAATGTTTGGAAAGGCACACAGTTTCGCTGCATCGCATTGTCGCTGTTGAACCGGGAACATCAGTCGGCTGCACATCTCAGTAGTAAAGCTCTGTTCAAAATAGAATGGTGACTGAGACAAAAACATCTGTTACTTACTGTTTAGAAGCCTGTAGAGTGTTAGAAGATAGCCAAATAACTATGACGACCGCAGCAGTAGAAATGGTACTTCCTTTGTAACTGGTCTGCTTTAAATAGCCAAGTGGAAAACAGCTCTCCTATGTTTTCCGATAAGCTCGCGTATAACGAGTATCACAGTACTGAGAGAACAACAACATCATAGGTGATTTTCAGTATGATTTGCGGTCAGTGTCATTTCTTGTCAGAGGACAAACCAGTCGTGTAGCTTCGATGGATTGCCTTTTCTCAGAATTCCGAAAAGTTTCATGGCACTCTAACAAGCTACTGAGCGTTCTCTTGCTTTTACCTATATTTTATTTTGACGTGAAGCAACGATTTTGTGAGGAAAATAGCGATGGTTAGGAAATTTTTTTACAAATTCAAATTTCCTATGGGAATCGTAATAAGTGCAATATCTGCGATGACTGTTTCCTATTTCGCTCCTCTTTCGGAAAACTTGGATTGCGTCCGGATGGAACCAAAGAGCGAAGCAACGATGGAACGATGATAATTTCACGAATATTGTGTAGATTTCAGCGAATCATGCCAGCAGAGCGTACGGTTGAACGGAATGCCCATTTCAATGGTGTTTTATCATAACTCGCTACTGGCGATTGCCTTGCTCAATAGTCTAGTGAACCCTGCGCACCTAAGCACTTGTGAATGAACTGAGAAGCGCAATTTCGCTCACTTCCTCGGATTACAAAGCGCTGCAACTATACAGAATTTCACACAAATTTTCGTCTCCTTTTTAACCTCATCCGGATACTCGTCTGTGCATTTCCGAAGACTTTTACTTGGTATAAGATTTTTAAATTGTTGCCTAAATTGCCTTTGCAATATCTGTACGCCGGTTTGTATAATAGAATTATAAATTTCTTGGTGTTTTCACGCTCATCGTGGCTAGCCAAGTTCTGACTAATAGCAATGCAGATTACGAGTTCATCATCCAATGTGGCTTGTCCATACGAAAGGGAGTTCGACGTTTACATTCAGGAACGAAGCTGAGAGTAATCCAATATTATGAGTCATTGCAACTTTGAGAGCAGTGTATTCATTATCCATCATGTGGTGACATCGTGCGAAAGCGCCAACACGGCCTTTAAGACTTTATGGAAGGAAAATCTAGCCCAGTCGGCAAATACCTAGACTGATGGAACTCATGTGTTCCCCACGACTCTTCTCAATTCATGAAGACATGCCATTCGAGTGGTCGGCTGTAATACTGTGGAAGCCAAAACCAGCACAACGTCAAGTGGTATAAGGTTGCAATTTCTGAATAATGTTCTGTATGACTGAGCTGGCACGACGTTGGTATAGCAACCTTTATTCGAGTAAGGTTTCAATGCCCTCGCCTTCCTTACTGCCGAGTTGATCTGAGTCGGTGGTTCACAGTTGATCGTTGTCGCGATATGGGTGTTCGTTGTTGCCACTAGTTTTCAAAATATTTATTGCCACAGCATACATTTACTTCCATAAAAAAGTACAATACAACACTAGCTGACGTTTCGCTTGTATAGCCTTCTTCAGAACCTGGAAGGGTACAGTGATATGCAATTTACCATATCGAAAGCTTCAAAAACATGCACAAAAAGACGAAAAACTGCATTGCAATTACGTGTAAGAGTCTCGAAAAACTCTCCGTTTTTAACGTAACTTTTACCGAGGAAGATTAGAACAACTGATTTGATGATTGCACCATCCCACATCAACAATTGGTGAGAAAATGCGGGGCCAGGTCGCGTGTGACCTCTGGGCATTCGTCCCTGCTATTCATTGTGGGGTACTTGGCATTTATCCAAAACGCCTTAAGAAGTTTTCGCACTGGTGTTTTAGCCTCCTGTGCAAGGATATTGACTTTTACATCAAAGCGATCTCCACTATGCTTTTGTATCCCATGCGTGCCTAGTGTGGTACTTTGTCTTGCTTTTCGTTTGCCATCTAGGTGTTCTTTTATACGGATACACAAACGTCTGCCCGTTTCGCCAATATATTCATTTCCGCAATTATTACAAGATATCAGGTTTATCGTACCTGAACTCATACAGTCACCGTCCCTGCCGTAAGGGCAAATTACGCAATTTGGTGCTTCATACAGACGGTCATACAGGCGGTTACGAACTAACTGACGTCGTAGAGTAGCCGGTGGTATTTCAACTATCGCTACCGATTCCTCTAGACCTGTTTTTCTCAAGTATCGTTTTGCATCTACGCTTACTTGATCGCTAATAAAGGGCAGCATAAACGGGGTTTTCTTCCCCCAAGTGTTTCCTTTTGACGCGTCACACTCCTTTTAAAAATATCCCGTGTGGATACTATTTCGTAGCCATTAGAGGTGGCTATTTGCCGAGCCAAGTCGCGCGATTCTTCCTTTAGTTTCCAGGTAGTGCACACAGAGGTGGCTGTTCGAAGCATGTTTCTCATAATCGCCCTCTTTGTGTGTGAAGGGTGGGAAGAGAGGAATGAACAAGGATGTCCTTATTTCTTGGTTTCCGGCACCACTTTATCGTGTAATCGCTATCTAATATGTAAATTTGAACGTTGAGAGATAGAAGCCAACTTTCATTCGGTTTTTCCCGGGTGAATTTAGTGTCTCAGACTGCTCGTGCAATAATTTAAAGCGTTTGTCCATTTCTTCCTAAGTAGAGAAAACAATCAGCTATATATCTGCAGTAGAGTAGTGGCCGGAGATCGATGTACATGAACTTCTATTTTAGACATGAACGCAGGAGGACTTGGTTATTGAAGAGCTCCGAGTAGTAATCGTGTGCAGCTTTTTCCAGTATCTTTCGGGAAGCTGGAACTGTTCCGTCTAGGCGTCGGGGCGCTATCATCCTGGTCTTCGAATTTGCACAGTTTTGGTGGACTTTCGAAATGCTCTTCCCAGCCGTTGTACCTTTAGCCACAACTGCTGTTTTTGTCTCTTCGGTATCCTCTTTTATCTCTGTTTTGCATATTTGGACGTAAGTTGGGACATGCCTGTGGCTCGTACGATTCCGCGTTGGCTCAGCTCGAATGGCTTCGTATAAAGATGTCTGTTGATGACTTTTCAGCTCTCAGTTTTCATAGAGCTAACGTGGAGATGTTGAATAAATCAGTCTTGTTCCACGTCGATTCCGTCGATATAATGCCCTGAGCAGATTCCAGTTCGTGGAGGTTTACAGACTTCGTTTCTCAAATTTCGTGGGTTTTTCCTCTCTCCAAGAAAGAAGGGATCTGCGCGTTAATCCAGTGTCATGCAAAATTCTGTAACAACAGCGGTTTCGGTTAAGCAAAACCTTCGATTTACTGTGATGCGATCTATTTCGTTATGCTGTTCTCCATTGGAAGGCTACCACGTCCAGCGTTGGAAGTGCGGATTTGCGAGAATTTGGCTTCTGCAAATGCCGGTTTCCATGAAAGAAGTCATAATAAGATTAGACAGCGGTTCTCCCTGTTTGTACCATTCTAACCCTTCGGCTGTAATGTGACGTTCTTCTGATGTTTCCTTTTTTCCAGTTTTAGCGTTCCAGTCGCCAATGATGATCTTTAAGACCGTGTCTGTAGGACCTCTCTCGTAGAATCTCTCTAAGTGATTCACATCTCTCCAGCCGTAAACTGCCGATTAAAATTGTTAGTTGTTCGAACGGCTCGATGTTCATGTCGAAATCATGCCGTCGATAACACTAACTCCGCCCACTCCTCTACTGTTACAAGTTCTGAGGAATTTCTTTTCCGGAGTCATAGGTGGCGCTAGGTGGGCGGTGCATTCTCTTTGGCCTATCGGGTGACAGTGTACCTTCCTCTTTTAGCTTGTGCCATAAGTTTTATATACTGTCCAATATCCCGCGTGATAATGAGGCATTCCTCTCTGCAGTTCATTTTCGGATTCTTGGAATCAATCCAGAATGCCTCTAGA